CCATTTCATAATATCACTGCCAAAATTATTGATTTTGCCTTTGAAGGAAGAAACATACATCATAACTAGACCTCGGATTTTTGCATATTTTTTATGCTTTATCCGATTGGACTCAAATTTTGTATTTAGGCGTTTCATGCTTTAATTGATCGATATTTGGGGTCATGCAAAAAATATGCAAAATATGCAAAAAATATGCAAAATATGCAAAAAATATGCAAAAATATGCAAAATATGCAAAAAATATGCACGGTATGCTAGGTCGATATGCGATAAATATATGCAAGAAATATACAAAATATGCATTGTCGATATGCAAAATATGCAAAATATGCAAAAATATGCAAAAATATGCAAAATATGCAAAATATATGCAAAATATGCAAAATATATGCAAAATATGCAAAAATATGCAAAATATGCAAAAATATGCAAAATATGCAAAAATATGCAAAATATGCAAAAATATGCAAAATATATGCAAAATATGCAAACATATGCAAAATATGCAAAAATATGCAAAATATGCAAAAATATGCAAAATATATGCAAAATATGCAAAAATATGCAAAATATGCAAACATATGCAAAATATGCAAAAATATGCAAAAATATGCAATATATGCAAAATATGCAAAAATATGCAAAATATATGCAAAATATGCAAAAATATGCAAAATCTGCAAAAATATCCAAAATATATGCAAAATATGCAAAAATATGCAAAATATATGCAAAATATGCAAACATATGCAAAATATGCAAAAATATGCAAAATCTGCAAAAATATCCAAAATATATGCAAAATATGCAAAAATATGCAAAATATGCAATCATATGCAAAATATATGCAAAATATGCAGAAATATGCAAAATATGCAAACATATGCAAATATGCAAAAATATGCAAAATATATGCACGGTATGCTAGGTCGCAATATTAAAGATAGAACTAGATAGAAATTTTGCACATATATTATTATTACTCCTAGGATGTTTGGTATTGGAAATGGGATATATCGGTCCACGTTTTAGTATATCGCCATATAACGGTTATATATGTTTGCATGTTTTATACATATATTTAGCAAATTTTTCATAATGCCCCAAAAATCTAACAGTTGAACCATGAAACGCATACATACACAATTAGATTTCTATAGGTTAAAAATAAAGAAAGCACACAAATTCGAAAACTACCCTGAGTTTTTTTTTTTTTTTTTTGATTATTTGCATATTTTGCATATATTTGCATATTTTTCCATATTTTGCATAGTTTTGCATATTCTGCATATTTTTGCATATTTTGCATATTTATAGCATATCGACCTAGCATACCGTGCATATTTTGCATATTTATCGCATATCGACCTAGCATACCGTGCATATTTTTTGCATATTTTAGGATATATTTTGCATATTTTATGCATATATTTTGCATATTTATTGCATATCGACCTAGCATATTTTGCATATTTTGCATATTTTTTGCATATCTCGTGCATATGCAAAATATGCAAATATGCAAAAAATTAAAATATATGAACCCTTCAAATAATTCTAAATCCTTTGAAACGAATTTGTGTCCAATCAGAATTTCGATATCTTCATTATTAAAAAATATGCAAATATGCAAAATCCGAGGTCTAATCATAACTTAATAAAGTACCGATGGATGGGCACACAGATATGACTTGAACAGCAAACAGAAGAACCAATCTCTCTAATAGTATTTCAAACGCTTTTAGCATCCTTAAAAAGTAAATTCACGTGGAATTGACATCCAGAATAAGGCTGAATATTTAAAATATAGCAAAGAGAAAATACAACCTTCAACAACAGCGTTGTTCACTCTCTCATTCGTTGTTCGACCCTTAATTGTGAAGTAATTACTTATTTTTTTTTCCAATTAACTCCTCTCCTCCTTGGCTCACGTCCTATTTGGTGTTAGAATGTTCAGAGCCATGTCTCCATGTGTAGCTTAAGCTACGAATTTGACTTTATCCATAGATGGTGGTTTGTGTTTTACAGGTTGACTTCGATCTTCTTTAAGAATTTGACCACAATGTTCAGACTTTCTAAGCCTTGTGTATCAGTGAACTCTTCTACTGTGAAGGAGTCACATAGTTGCGGGAAGCATCTTCTTTTGTTACTAAATTTACGAAATCTAAAAATTACATGCGCAGCTGTTTGAATTCTGTTGAACGACTCGGACTTTATAGGTTATCCGTATTTGAAAACACACGTGTTAGTTAAGCGAACGCTTAACAACCGCCATTTTGTAAAAATCTATTTTTAAGCCCGTGGGCGTATAATACTCATTTAAACTTTTTAGGTCACGTCTTTCTTGTGAGCCGTCCGAGGACGAACTGAAGTAATTACTTAGTACCCCATACAAAATTTTCTGAGCCAACGCCGACTTTTGTACATTGTTCAATTCGAATCACTCTCTGAATAACCAAGAATTTTGTCCCATGCCTAACAATTGGGAGTATTTATCGAAAATGAAATAAATGAAAGAAAAAAATGGAAAGTACAAAATATGGGCCTCATTTTACATTTTGGTGTAAAATAAGAAACAAAAAGTTTGAAAAAATAAACTCTGATGACATGAATTAAGAATAGTGTTGTATGAACGGGTTAATTTATGTACGTAATTGTGAGAGCGAACAACATTATTCAACAGCCGCTCAGAACATGGCATTATACTGTTTGGATGTTGCTCTAGGTATATAAGAATTCAGCGTTTGTACCGCTGATAATGCCACACTTTTTGTATTGTAAACTTAGGATAATTTTTCATCGCGTTATGCGCAATGTGTTTATGTTGAAGATTGCGTGATCACCTTTCACCGTAGCAAAACAATTCCTGGGTAGTTCTTTTGCTACCTTTTTATATATTAAACTAGCGGACCCGGCAAACGTTGTATTGCCTTAGCAATATTGTTAAGGAATAATTTTGAATATTTTGGATTTGTTTTTCAATTTCTATTCATACTTGCATAAACAATTTTTTTGTGTATGAAATATCCATGAAAATTTTTGGTATAGATAAACATTTAATATTTGTCTCCAATATACCGATATTGATCGTTACATCGGAAGCTACAGAATATCGAGTTTCAGTTGGGTTGGGTCTAAAACACATTGACATTCACATAGAGTAACATTACAGTTCCGAGTATATACTTTTTGGTGTTTATGACCGAGTGTTGTTGCTATAGAAAATAAATAAACTTATAATTGAAAAATGTACGAGGATAATTTACAATTTTTGTTCCTGATTTATAAGCGGTGCAATTGTCGAAACGGCAAACGTTGTTTTCCCTTCTAAATTTTTCGTGGATATAATTTTAGTAATAATTTAGATATCAAGAGCCGAAATTGTCATTCAGTATTCGGATTTAATTAGATTATTTCCCCAATATGTTTATACGACTTCCACCAAAAAGGACGGCATCGGCCCACTTTTTATGATAGCGCCCATATACCGTATTCCCCATTATTCTTTATTTTGGGGTGTTTGGTACGGCTATAATTTATTATTTCGAATTCTCATATGGTAGCAAATCTTTCTACCAAAAATTATGAATATTGAATCACTTTTTAAGATATTCCCTATATAACGGTACCACCATTAGTTTTTAGTGTTTTAGGCACGTTTTTAACCAATTGATTAGATACTTTGAGTTCTCATTGGGCAACAAATCTCCTTACCAAAATTTATTGATATCGGTCTACTGTTTTTATATAGCTTCCACGTAGTGGTACCCTCAGTCCCGAACGACTACTGGTATAAAAGTTTGGCCCGGTAGAACATAACGATGTCCTTTTTATATATCGGTAATTGATATGTTGAGGTATTCATAAAACGAATTGGTAACGTTGTGAGACTCTATGTTATAATATATTTTTTTGACGAAGGTTTTGGTATATCCTTCACATTAGATATTATGTCTACCGATGGTATCGGATATATGCGAGGTTTTGTGTTTATAAGTTCAAACATATTGACCACCGATTAGGCAATTAACCACGATATAATGGTACCACCAGATTTGATATTCGTTGCATAGCAAAATTTTAGGAACTTTAAGGAATAACTTGTTCCTATTGAACTATTTTTATTATGTATATTCAAACAAAAAAATCTAGGGCATGGATCTTAGAATCAAAATTCTATGAATGGATATAAACTCGATTCAAATATAAGTTTTTTTATAAGACAACTACTCCCTCTATATTAGAGTTGTTCTCATTTAGTAGGTTTGTAAGGAATACACAAATTCATGTTCCACGTTTAATCTCCCTGTTGGAGAAGCCATGTTCGGGTATTCAACGGTTTACCACATTCAGTGCTTTCATTAAATGTTATATGAAATCCTTTATTGAATATGCCAATTTGCATGGATTTTGGTCCATATTCTTTTGTATTGCTTGCCATAATATTATATTTGAATAGTTGATTATTATGTAAGTAAATAATATTGTTTGTTGTTATTTAGATTACTTATTTATGAATTTTTAAAGATGAAATTTTGTTAGTTTTAAGATTTTGGAATGTATTGTGGTTTCCGGGACCAACCTTAGGTTCCCATTTGTTGAAATAAATTAAAATGACCTCAATCCGGTGTACATTAATTTACTCATGCATACGCACAAAAAAATTTTTGTAATTAAATAAATATTAGAAAAAAACCTGCATGAAATGCAGTATTGGTTATTGCATAAAATTTTGTGGGAATAATGAAAACAAATTCCTGTATAAAACTTTTTATTTGTTATACATATAAAATTTTACACTTAATGTCCTTTGGTTATCTGCTTAACACATTATGCTACCAGTAGTAGAATTAAGTAGAATACTATTCCATGTAATTATAAACTTACAAAATTATGTTGACTTTTTTACAAAATAAATGAGCGTAATAATAAAATATTATATCTATATGAGTATAGGTGATAAATGGCGTTTATTTATATTTTAATATCTGACGTAAGATGATATTTACTCTGTAGATAATTTATGTAGATCTGCGTAGTTGACTATAGCGCGATATAGGAACTCGTATTGTGCCTGAAAATGTAGTATGAATGATGTAATTATAATTAAAATAATAATAAATATAAAACCATTCTTACATATGTGTCAATTAGCCTTGGCCTTTGAGATCTTATTTTTCTAGCAGTTGTACATATATCAACACACTTTTCAGTACGCAGCTGCTGTACTAAAATGCACATAGCTACAAATATAGAGCTTCGATCTGTCCCCAAACTGAAAAAGGAAAATTAATATACATCACATCGTAATTTACATAAAGTGAAAGTTTTTACCTGCAGTGAACTGTAAGTGGTGATTTACAGCCCACATTCTTTTCTTTGCTATGATAGCTCAACGCCTGGTCAACTAGTTCTATTATACCGCGACAAACTTCCGGCACTTCCCCTTCTACGGTAGGCCAACCGTTGTATTGCAATTGTGTAACTTTTATTGTGTCGTTAATTTTGCAATTAGTTACGTTGAATTCTCGGCGTGTGTAATAGGGACAGCTTTCACTCTGCATGTATTTTACAACAATGTGGTCAAATTGAATTTCATCATCAGCCCAATATCTGGGACACCTCCGAGGTCCATCGCCAATCTATTAACAAACAAATAAACAGTAATTAATACAAGATTGATTTTATTAATTTATTCACATAGTTTTTAGTTTTCATGTTCCTTTTATATTTATTTTAAACTTCAAAAAAAGTAATTTCGTTATTGCAATTTATGTGTTGTTAGTTAGGGTAACTCTGCCAATCAGCATAGATCTGGCATCATTGTTTCTTGCTACACACTAATACAATAACACATTTCATTCATTCTTGTTCATTCAGTTCACTCACATAGTCTCTTCGCGTACGAGTTGTCGTCGTAGCACGCTAAACATTTTGTAACGTATTTTAGTTTCTAGAATAAATCTTGCCTAAGTTTGTTAAATCATAAACCAAGTCCTTTATTCACAACATAAAAGCAATCAAATCGTATTTTACCCCACGTAAAAGCACAACAACTGGCGACGAGGATTGTGAATAAAGGAATGCATTTCTCTAATTCCAATTCATCCCAACAACAGGCGACGAAAACGGCGAATGGAGAAATAAATTTCGTTAACTTCAATTCATCCCAAGCAAAATTCACTGCTCAGATATGTCAAGCGAAAACATCGTAAAAATACTAGCTGAACAACAAGCAGCTATGCATCTTCAAACGTAGTTACTTCAGCAATTAACAAACCTACAGGCACAGAGCACTGGAAACTCCAAATATGCAACATTAAGTCCCAGCACTTCAAAAGCATCAGTGAGATTCGGGAGGGAGATCTTGTCCATCTCGAGTTCGCGATGAAGAGCATGAGGATAAATTCTTTCGAATTTCCTCACATATCTCATCTTACCCTTGATGAGGTGAACCTCCCTCTCCGAAATCAAATTCGCGTCTCGTCCACGAATTTGCGAAGATTCGAAACAGCACGTTTGTAATGTTTGGCATCGGTCACTTCTCAGGCCTTCCCAACCTTCGAGCCTTTGTCCGTTTCCGGGGGATCAACAGATTCCCCATCGTCGGACATCACCTCTGTTGCGGATTGCCTCCGAAGTTTGTCGGCTAGTGACGACAAACTTCGGCTAGTGCCACACACTTCTTCACTTCGTCACTGCTATGGCAATCCCCCTGTGTAGACTTGGCTGGGATCACCGTGGTGTCCAGCTCATCATCAGTTAGGGTAAGATTTAATAGCAGTTCCTCCGGAAGCGTTTCCCCGCATTGCTCATCCGGTACCAGTCTGTCTAACTGGTCGAAGAGTTCCTTGCTTTGTTCCTTTAGACTATCACGGATAGCGCGTAGAGTCCCATGTAGGTCGTCCCCTCCCAGAACTACAGTTCTGTCAGCCAAAGACTGATTTTCATCAGTATTGACATTCTCGTTTGCCAAAGGAATATCCGGTTCGTCAACGTTTTGGTTTGTAATTGATGCACTTGTAGCAGGTACGGCTGTAGGTGCCAAGGCATCCACACCTAGAACAGCCGGATCACAATCGCTTGATCTCGACGACACGTGGCTTGTGACCTCACCAACGATTGCCGCCGGTACTGGGTTATTAACTCCCTGCACCGTAACTTTATTATTTTTGCTTCTTTTACCCATCTTAGTTAATTTATTTAAGGGCACTACCCCGATCCATTTTGGTCCACGGGGAATCCGAAGATCCCCAAGGCCAAGGAGGCCTAGGTCAGTTTTTCTCTGCACATCATGGAGACCCCCTTCCCAACCGCCACCCGGGAAGACGCGCCTGACAAAGTCGCGTTACTCTGGAGAAAAATGTCCAACTTACAGTGCGAACTCTTCAAGTTCAAATGTCTAATCTACGTCTTAGAATTAAAATCCAGCAAAGACAATGACATTCGCTTACGTTTACTTAAACTGCTAGACGAAGCAAAAGACTCCACAACTCTCGACACACTTGTAGATGAAACTCAACGACTCATGGATCTCAAAACAGACAACATACTGATCGAGCATCAGCCGCAATCAATTTGCGCAGTCAAGAAATTCTCTAAGAATATAAATCCTTCAAATAAAATTCCAAAAACACCCTGCTGGATTTGCGGAGAAATGCATTACACAAAATATTGTACCTTCAAAACACACAAAAAGACAGATCACAAGGATAACTTTTGTCACAGTGCAAAAAGAGGTAAGTCCACAGAGAAGAATATTGTCAAATCGGACAAGGAAAATTACAACCCCAATGCAGTTTTCTCATCGAAGCAACTCAAATTCGAGAAATTGCGAAAATACACAACCGTTGAGATAAACAACAAGAAAGTTCGATTACAAATCGACACAGCTTCAGATATTTCAATAATATCACAATCAACTTGGGAAACGATAGGTTAGCCTCACCTATCAGAAACCAATGATACAGCAATCGACGTCAATTCAAACAGCATCAGAATTCTTGGAAGATGCCAATGCAACATAACGGTATTAGACAAAACGCTAACTCTACACTGCTACGTAACGGACATCGATCAACTAAACATAATGGGTATCGACTGGATACAAAGTTTTAACCTTTGAGACAAACCAATTTCAACTTGGTGTCGCCAAATATCAACCGACGAATACTTATCTAACTTGAGAAACAAGTATTAAACAGTTTTCGACAACAGCAGTTTAGGTCTCTGCACCAAAACTAAAGTCCACATTAAACTTCTACCAGATGCAAAAGAAGTTTTCATTGCAAAACGTCCAGCTCCATACGCCGTACGAGCAGATACCGAAACAGAGCTAGATAGATTTGAAAAAGGAAATATCATCACACCAGTCAATTCTTCGAAATTCTCAGCGCCAATAGCCGTGAGCAGAAGGAACGGTAAAATTAGAATTTGTGCAGACTACTCAACGGGCCTTAACAATTCAATTGAACCAATATCCTTTGCCCACTGCCGAAGAAATTCTTGCCGACTGTCACAATTGCCTGATATTCACACATTTAGATCTCTCCGACGCATATCTTCAAGTGGAATTGGACGATCAAAGTAAAGACTTACTTACAATCAACACCCACATGGGTTTATACAAATTTAATCGCCTCACTCCAGGAATCAAATTCGCACCAGGAGCCTTTCAGCGAATCATGGATGAGCTATGTACAGGCATCCAAGGAGCTCGAGCGTACATAGACGACATAGTCTTGGCAAGTACATCACTAAATGATCACAAAACTAATCTTAACCTGTTATTACAGAAAATACAAGATTATGGTTTTAAACTCAAATTCAAAAAAATGCCAATTTTTCAAACCATCAATCAAATATCTTGGCCAAATCATTGATAAGGACGGCATACGACCCGATCCAGACAAAATTCTTGCAATACAGAATATAAAGGTCCCAGAAAATATTTCTGAAGTGCGATCTTTACTCGGTTCCATAAACTACTATGGAAAGTATGTCAACAACATGAGGAAAATCAGAAAACCACTAGACGATCTTCTAAAAAAGGAACACAAGTTCACTTGGACAAAAGAATGTCAACAGTCTCTAGAGGAATTTAAACGCATTCTGACATCTGATTTACTACTCACTCATTACGACCCGAAACTGCCAATACATTTTGCTGCAGACGCATCATCACATGGTATCGGAGCGGTAATATACCATACTAGCCATTTATCACATCTCAAGATCATTAACTCCCAATGAGAAAAATTACAGTCAAATCGAGAAGGAAGGACTAGCTTTGGGTTTCGCCGTACAACGTTTTCACAGAATGATCTTCGGAAGAAAATTCACCCTACATAACGACCACAAACCACTACTCTCCATATTTGGTTCCAAAAAGGTATTCCAGTCTACACTGCGAACATACTACAACGTTGGGCTCTAATCCTCCTTACCTACGATTTCTACATAAAGTATACCAACACAAACGATTTCGGACATGCAGACGTACTGTCCAGATTGATAAGCGCACATGAAAAACCATCAGACATAGCTTCAGTCAATCTAGAAAACGGCATGAGGTATCACATCACAAACGCTGTATCTACACTCCCAGTCAACGGCTGACCCGAAAACAAAAACAACATCGATTCATCTATTCTGCCATATTTCAACAGGCAAGAGTCAATATCAATAACAGACGATTGTCTCATGTTGAACTCTCTAACAATTGTACCAAAATGCTACAGAAAACAAATTCTCAAGCAACTTCATCGCGGTCACATAGGAGCAGAAAGAAGCAAATCCATAGCTCGAAGCTACATATACTGTCTTAATATAGACAAGGACATCGAGTCATACATAAAAAGGTGCAACAATTTCCAAATAAACGCAAAAAGTCCAGTCAAAACTAACCTTTGTCCTTGGCCAACAACAACACGCGTTCTTGAACGCATCCACATTGTCCTATAAATAACATTTATTACCTCATAATTGTAGACTCTTATTCCAAATATCCTGTCATATTGGAAACACAATCAACCAAGACCGCAACATTAAAGTTATTAACAACTTTTGTTTCACAATTTGGGAATCCAGAACAAATCGTATCGGACAACGGAACGCAATTTGCCTCAGCAGCATTCGAAAATTGGTGTTCTCAACGAGGAATCAAGCACACACGCATTGTTCTATATCATCCAAAGATTCGTCGACACTCTTAAATGATCCGAGGGAGAGGAGACGGCAGCGAATGCCCCACAAACATTTTTGGAAGTGTTTCGTTCTACACCAAATCCCAACGCACCAAGCGGACTGTCACCAGCGGAATCGTTCCTAGGCAGAAAAAATCACAAAACCTCCTCCAGCGAGTCAAGAAAGAAATTCCCAGATGGAAAAACAGTACAACCGAAAACATGATACTATCAAAAGACATTTCAACCCTGGAGTCCTTGTCTACGCCAAAAACTTCAAAGATAACAAAAGCTATTGAGTCCTAGGAGAAATCATCAAAAAAGTAGGAAACGTCACATACAACACTCTCATTCAATTGGACAACCGTCATATTCTTGTGCGATCCCATACAGATCAACTCAGATCCAGAGAAGTCGATACTGATGATTCATTCGAGCAAAACGGAAATCTTCCTCTACAAA